AGCCCTACTGGGGGGCCACCCTAGGTCAGGCAGCATCACATTTCAGGGCCCAGTTCCCAGCCACACCCCTACACCCCAGGCCCAGGAGGTTGAGCCTTCGTAGCCCTTGGAAACTGACTCCGGCAAATCAAACTCACCAAAGACCAGAACATCCTGAATGACTAGAAATTAGTTGGAAATGAAGATAGCGTACTCATGTTTACAGAATAGAGCTTTCTCTTCCTGTTGGCAAGTTTCAAGGAGCCAATTATAGTCATTAGATTGTTGGGTGAGCCAGGAGTCAAAGGAATGACTGGCTAGATGATGTTAGGGAACATTGTCACCAGGAGATGATGGCCTGCCCTCCCCCTGCACCCCAGACCATACCAGCACTTGGCTGCCACCTTCCTCCAGGGCCCCTCCTTTCCCTTTTCCCCGCCATAGCCAACGGCTTCCTTCTTTCTGAGTTAATATTTGTATTCCTCTTTATAATTTAACCTGCAAAGGACAGTCTAAGGTCAGCAGGAAGCTTTGGCAGGCACTAGGAAGGAGCAGGGCATCCTCCCCTTTATTTACCTTTGTGTAAATGTTCATGCCGCTCGCTTGGCATTCCATTATACATAGCCTTGTGATGTCTTGCATAGGCTAATTGTGTTTTTAACTCTTCTGTTTTTAATTTAAGATCAGAGGCCGGGCGCGGTGGCTCAAGCCTGTAATCCCAGCACTTTGGGAGGCCGAGGCGGGCGAATCACGATGTCAAGAGATCGAGACCATCCTGGCCAACATGGTGAAACCCCATCTCTACTAAATGTACAAAAATTAGCTGGGCGTAGTGGCGTGCGCCTGTAGTCCCAGCTACTCGGGAGGCTGAGGCAGGAGAATTGCTTGAACCCAGGAGGCGGAGGTTGCAGTGAGCCGAGATTGCGCCACTGCACTTTTAACCCCTGGCAACCACTAATTTTTTCTCCATTTCTATAATTTTGTCATTTGTAGAATGTTATATAAATGGAATGATATAGTACACATTCATTGAGGATTGGCTTTTTTCACCAACTTCATTCTCTGGAGATTCTTCCAGGTTATGTACACCCGTAGTTCTTTTTCTTTCTGAGTAGTAGTCTGTGGTGTGTATTACCACAATTTGTTTACCTGTTCTCTTGTTGAAGGATATCTATTGTTTCCAGTTTGGGGCTACTATGAATGAAACTGCCATGAAACATTCATATACAGATTTTTGAATGCCAGCAAGTTTTTATTTCTCTGGGATAAATTCCCAGGAGTGTAATTGCTGGTTCTATATTGTTGAATGTTCAGCTCTTTAGGAAATTGCCAAAATGTTTTTCAGAGGGCCTGTATTATTTTATATTTCCACCAGCAATGTGTGAGTGATCGAGTTTCTCTGCATTCTTGCCAGCAATTGGTATTGCACTGTTTTCTATTTTTCCCTTTTTTTTTTTTTTTTTTGAGAAAAGGTCTCGATCTGTCACCCAAGCTGGAATGCAGCGGCGCATTCTCAGCTCACTGCAACCTCTGCCTCCTGGGCTGGGATCTCATGCCTCAGCCTCCAAAGTAGCTGGGATTACAGGTGCGTGCCACCATGCCTGACTAATTTTTGTATTTTTAGTAGAGACGGGGTTTTAACATGTTGCCCAGGCTGGTCTCAACCTCCTGAGCTCTAGTGATTCACTTGCCTCGGCCTCCCAAAGTGCTGGGATTGCAGACATGAGCCACTGCACCTAGCCTATTTTTGCCATTGTGATAGGCATGTAGTGATATGTCATTGTGGTTATAATTTGCATTTCCCTAATAACTAATGATATTTAACTTCTTTTCATGTGCTTATTGCCATCCGTATTTCCTCTTTAGTGAAATGTTTCTTCATGTCTTTTGCCCATTTTCTAGTTAGATTGAGTATTTTGAATGTTGAGTTTTGAGAGTTCTTTATATATTTTAGATACTAGTCTTCTGTTGAATATGTGGTTTCCAAACTCTCCCTGTTTGTAGCTTTCCTTTTCATCTTCTTAATAGGGTGTTTGCACTGAGCAAGTTTTTAAATTTTTTGGTGAAATTCAGTTTATCAATTTTCTCCTTGTATGGGTTGTTCTAAAAATGTGTTAGTTTTACATTTAAGTCCATGATCCATTTTGAGTTGATTTTTATATGAGATTTTTATATGAGATGTGAGAAGTAGATTGAGGTTCAGTTTTTTCCTATGAATGTTCAGTTTCTTCAGCACCGTTCATTGAAAGAGCTATCTTTTCTCATTGAATTTCTTTTGTACCTTTGTCTAAAATCCGCAAAACATTTTTGAATAGGTCCCTTTTGGAGTTCTCTGTTCCATTCCAGTGATCTATGTGTCTGCCTCTCTGCCAGTGGTATATAATCTGGATTACTGTAGCTTGAAATCATGTAGATGGATTCTTCCCGTATTGTTCTTCTTTTTCAGAGTTGTCTTAGTGTGTTCAATTTTCTTTGCCCCTTTCCATATAGATTTTAGAATAATCTTACCTATGACTACAAAAAAATCTTGCTGGGATTTTGATAGAAATTTCATTACACCTGTATGTCAGTATGGGGAGAACTATGTTGAGTCTTCTGATTTATGAACAAGGTGTGCTTCTATATTTATCTGGATCTTTTCTTTTTATTTTTCTTCTGAGACAGAGTTTTGCTTTTTTTCCCAGGCTAGAGTGCAATGGCGTGATCTTGGCTCACTTCAACCTCTGCCTCCCAGGTTCAAGTGATCCTCCTGCCTCCGCCTCCTAAGTAGCTGGGACTACAGGCGCCCACCACCACAACTGGCTAATTTTGTATTTTTAGTATAGATGGGTTTTCACCATGTTGGACATGCATTTTGATTTCTCTGGGATAAATGCCCAGGAGTATAATTGCTGGTTCTATATTGTTGCATGTTCAGCTCTTTAGGAAATTGCCAAAATGTTTTTCAAAGGGCCTGTATTATTTTACATTTCCATCAGCAATGTATGAGTGATCGAGTTTCTCTGCATTCTCACCAGCAATTGCTATTGCCACTGTATTTTATTTTTGCCTTTATTTATTTGTTTATTTATTTATTTATTTATTTGAGACGGTCTCTTTCGCCTGGGCAAAAAGAACAAAACTATTTTTGGTAGAGATGGAGTTTTGCCATGTTGCCCAGGCCATGCCAACCCTTACCCTGATCTTGAACTCCTGACTCAGGTGATCTGCCCCACCTCAGCCTCCCAAAGTGCTGGGATTACAGGCATGAGCCACCCCACCCAATAGATTTCTTTCGTTAGAGTTTTGTAGTTTTCAGCATACAAATGTACATGTTTTGTTAGATTTATGCCCATTTCTTGTTTTGAACAATTGTAAATGGTATTGT